AGGAGTTATTTAACTGAGTGAGTGAGTATGGTTTACGGCGGTGGACACCAGAAAGGTATCTAAGACTTCTAGGCAATTAATCATAGGGATTTCCTTTTTAACTCGTCAATATCAGAATCTGACTGAAATATTATTCCCAAAGTCATAAATATCAATTCCTTTCATTTTAAGATTAGGTTTTGCACTTGGGAAGACTTTAATTTAACGTGAAATAGAAAGCTTTTGTTTTCTCTGGATTCATTTTTACTTACTTTCATCCATTTGGTAATTTTCTCCAAATCAGCATTAATATTTTACGCAGTAGTATTTGGAATTGTCCCTTTGGAGAATTGTCTGGACCCCACCGCAAACACAGTAAACAGAAATTCCAATGTGAATAATATGTACAATAGTTTGTTGGCTCGACATGCAAGACTCCATAATTTTAGTTATAATGTAAAACTCATAGTAATATTAAATTATATTTAAAACAAATAATTAATGTATTTTACATGGGAGACGAAGCGACACACATTTTATTTTATAATAATGCACAATTTTGAATGCTTTAAACCTGTTGCATTAAACAAATACTGGATTTGATGTAGTCATATAGTGAATCAATATGTGTCTAGTCTTCCAAATGTTCTATTGCGAACACATATAGTGTCAGCGCTCATGATCGCCATATCTATGAATGAATAAAAATATCATCATTAATAAACTCACCTGAGCTCACTGTGTGTTCTGAAGACAAATCGCTGTTAGGCATCCTGCACGTTCACGTTCACCCTCAAATGTACCATAGAAATCTGCGATTGTGCGTGTTCAATGTTCGAATGCATTTTTGCGACAGGCGTTCGTTTATTTTTAAAATTCCACTAATTCATTAATCACACTGAGTTGCTTGCCTCTTCTCCAGTTGCTCACACTCTCAACTGATGTAGCTGCCTTGATTAATTGGAGTCCGGATGTACCTAATTACAAACTCTGTTCTAATTATGCTAATCGTGGAAGTGCATTATACTGGATTCCAAACTTAGTAATCCTTTCACACTAATGATCCTTGTTTACAATAAACGCATGCCAATTGACTAAACAAACATCCTTAAGTAGAAGTATCACAATGGACGGTGTGTACAACTGTTTGACAAACAATATCAACCAATATTTCATATTTAGAATCACCATTACATGAAATCACAGAAACATATATATTAAATTTTACTTTGAAAACTCCAGAACTAATGTCGTGAACGTAATATAATAGGAATTTATTCCAACGATGTGTTTCCTATATATGTTTCCTTGTTCAATTTTAAATTCATGGATTTTTATCTATTATTTTGCAATGATCGTGACAATCGCTAAAAGGCTACTCTCTTGCTATTCCGTTTAGTGGTTATTCTAGTTTAGACAGCGACAGCCTCTCGTTATACAACCAGTGCTTTTCTAACCCCGATTTATTTAAGACAGCGTCTATCATTCGCTATACAAACAGTGTTTTTTCTAACCCCGATTTAGTTAAGACAGCGGCAGCCTTTCCCCATACAAACAGTGCTTTTCTAACCCCGACCTAGTTAAGACAGCGGCAGCCTTTCGTTATACAAACAGTGCTTTTCTAACCCCAATAAAGTTTATACAGCGGCAGCCTTTCGTTAAACAAACAGTGCTTTTCTAACTCCGACCTAATTAAAACAGCAGCAGCCTTTCGTTATACAAACAGTGCTATTTCAAACCGCAATCTAATTAAGACAGCGGTATTATTTACATTATCTGTTACTAAAATCTGCACAAATGTTCTATTTCTTATGTAAAATGCTGTCAACATCAAGAAATAAAAATTATTTCATAACACTCCAAATATAGTTGCCATAATGAAATAGTATTAACCTGTTATTGTCACGTGCAAAAATACTGTTCGGTAACATTAGTTTTTAAACCCAAAGAAAACCTCTTACGAGTTCAAAAAATTCAATGAAGCAGTGGTAAAATCTATCCATATATACAAAATTGTATAGTTTTGGAAATACCAACTATACAAAATTGTATATTTTGGAAATACCAAATATACAAAATTGTATATTTTGTATATATGGGTATTTTTTCTTGTGTTTGACAAAAGTCCCGAACTCTTGCCACCAGGACGTTGCTTCCTCTTGTCCTGTGTATGGCCTCAGCTTAATATGTGGTGTGGCCATTGTATGGGAGGGAGGTTCAGCTGCTGAAGGAGAGGCTGTTGAAGCAGATGAAGAGGATGTAGATGGCGCTGGTAAGGATGTTGTCCTGGACGTTGATGCCGTTGCTCTTGACGCCGTTGATGACGTTGTTGCCGTTGATGACGTTGTTGCCGTTGATGACGTTGGTGCGGGGATGGTTAGGGAGGGGGAGGCTGGAAGGGGTGATTCCTGCGTCTTGAGCAAACTGGTTAAGTTCAACCTTGGCTCAGGCCGTCGAAGCTTCTGTTTGTAGTTGGTAGGCGTGGCACCGGTCATCTAGGATAAGCTCCACCAATTGAAACCGTCCTTTTTTAGGGGACCGTTTATACCTAGCATTGTTACGGGGAATTAACTCCGGGATCTCCACGCCTTCAAAAACAGACAGAGAGGTTTTCAGGCGAAATGCAGGAATCTTTATTATATGTGACGTCACAATGCAACAACATACATTCAAAACAATTCAGTATTATATTTCATAGTTTAGACATCATAATAAGTAATTAAATAGTACAGCATTAAGATATTGAAATCAATAATTAAGAATGATAATGAGTTACATCATTACAGCATAGTAAAATATTTTCTGGTGCCTTGTTGGAAATATAACAATGATAACATAGTTGTAACCAGGGTAACTGCGGCACAGATACCTGGGGCTTAAGCCGGGCGTCACGGTACGTGCACCACGTGAACAATGGCCGGCGGCCAAGCGTGCGTCGAACCGTAGCCTTAACCCTAACGAGGTAACTGCCGACACTTACTTCAAGATAATGATGATTAAACATTTTAACACTAATCAAAATCTTCTGACGTTTACCAATTATAAGTAAATAACTTATAACATGAGAAACAGTTTATATAAGAAATGCTGGATATTGTATTGTAACTCTTATCTACTAGACTGCCACTGAATTGTCTGTATCTTTATAGACTATTCTACGATATGAAACTCAAAATCAACCGGCGCTTCACGATAGTGCGGATGCACTTATGTGATAAATAGTTAAAAGACATTGCCGAATCTGTGCGTATTTAGCTACGGAAACAGTGTTACTTTTCGTGTATTGTGTTCTAGACATATACGGTCACAGACTGGTTATCTTTAAATACATACATTTAGCTGCCGATGCTATGCTACTCATTATATTGAAACAAGAAATGTTTCCCGTGAAAATACAAACAGTGAGACGAATAACATGACCAGAAATATAAATGCAGATAATAGAACATGTTGACAACCAAGTCACTTGATACAGAAACGTTATACACGTTGAACATATTGTTTAATAAGCATCCACGACTTCCATAACTAAAATGGCGTAATATGTTAGATTGATATTTAAACGACTAGAATACTAATGCTCGTATTTTATCCGGGACGCTCTATTATTCTCTATTATTCAGTATAGTATTTGGTTTCTAGATGAACTGTATGAAATTAACATATAGCAGCCAAATCGTAGATTTTGAACAATACTTTTTAATTAACTGTAACATAAGTTCATTGTACCAGCAGAGTAACAAAGTTAGAATTATTTACAGCACGTTTAACAAAAATGGCAAAGTAATAAGTAAAAGTAACTTACCTTCAAAAACAGACAGAGAGGTTTTCAGGCGAAATGCAGGAATGACTCTATGCCAAGATACCCCTGCATTTATACCCGAGACCTCCAGTCCACGTTTGAAAGCATGTCACTACCCATCTGTCCAGTTTGGGATTGATAACAATGGTTTCCCACATGGTGGTCAAATTATGCAAGTTTTGATGTGCTGACTTGCTTAGTTAATTGTTTATTGGCTGGTCGGCTGTGTTTGAAACTGGTCAGCCGGGTCTAGAATTTCAATTGATCACAATGGCTTCTCACATGTTGGTCAAATTATGCAAGTTTTGATGTGGTGACTTACTTAGTTAATTGTTTATTGGCTGGTCAGCTGTGTCTGAATCTGGTCAGCCGGGTCTAGAATTTCTATAGCGCTAGCTGATTAGCATCTGCCAGCTCGTTTGACTGGTTTCGACAGCTTGCATCTCCAAGCGTTACGTATTATGATAGGCGTCCTGTAAACTATGTAGCGTTTACTGGCTTGGGAATGTGAAACTTAAAGTAGAAGAATATATTTGATTTTGATAAAACTTGAAGAAAAATATGATGATTTTCGCCCTGTTATAATACCTTCACACAAGGCCAGACACCCCATACAGCACAGCTCACCTTGTATCACTGTTACTAAAGTGCAATCGCAGATCAGGCACAAAAACTTCATATCTACCTTGTCTAGGGTGACTATTCTATCAATTCCAATACATGACACCTCCCAATTCTTTATTGCTTTGAAATAATACCGACCCAAAGCCGTCGACTCGCCACTTTAAAACCAACTGGGCACAAATGGCCTACATCAGACCCACACAGAATGGGTGTGTGTCAGAAACAGTTCTCCTCGAGCGGTGCTGTATGGAGTGTCTGCCCTTGTGTTAAAGCATCATAGGATAGTACATTTCTGACACTCGTGATTGATCTAGAAATATTTAAGCTTCGACACAAGGTCCTGTGAGTCAGAAACCAATTTTCACCCTCTGTGCCTTGTTTTCAAATGCTCACAGAAATAAAGACGTGTACCTATGAAAGATGAACACAAGAAAGTCTGTCACAAGAGAATAATATTTGCATTTCTTTTGCCGTTACAAGGCAAATGGAATTTTGACAGACAAATTTCTTCGTTTCATTAATTTTTGACAGTCTTTTTTTACCATCATTACCGCAATTTCAATACTTATGTTGAATCTGTTTCTTGTTTTCACAGCTGAAAGGTGTACCATCAGCCAAAGTGGCATCTGAGGTGGACCTTATGTTGAACAACATCGGACTGCAGCCCAAGAGGAAAGCCCAGTCGCGAACTCTGTCTGGTGGCATGAAGAGAAAACTGTCTGTGGGCATAGCACTCATAGGTGGATCTAAGGTAGCTAATCTCAGTGGGAAAACTGTCTGTGGGCATAGCACACATAGGTGGATCTAAGGTAGCTAATCTCAGTGGGAAAACTGTGGGCATAGCACTCATAGGTGGATATAAGGTAGCTCATCTCAGTGGGAAAACTCTCTGTGGGCATAGCACTCATAGGTGGATCTAAGGTAGCTAATCTCAGTGGGACAACTGTCTGTGGGCATAGCACTCATAGGTGGATCTAAGGTAGCTTATCTCAGTGGGAAAACTCTCTGTGGGCATGGCACTCATAGGTGGATCTAAGGTAGATCGTCTCAGTGGGACAACTGTCTGTGGGCATAGCACCCATAGGTGGATCTAAGGTAGATCGTCTCAGTGGGGAAACTGTCTGTGGGCATAGCACTCATAGGTGGATCTAAGGTAGCTAATCTCAGTGGGACAACTCTCTGTGGGCATAGCACTCATAGGTGGATCTAAGGTAGATCGTCTCAGTGGGACAACTGTCTGTGGGCATAGCACTCATAGGTGGATCTAAGGTAGATCGTCTCAGTGGGACAACTGTCTGTGGGCATAGCACTCATAGGTGGATCTTAGGTAGCTAATCTCAGCGGTTAAAATGTTGGTGGGTGTACAAAGATTTGAGAATTATATTCTGCAAATCAGTAAACCAAGAAATAAGAAGAAGTAATCGTCTTTATGTCAATTAGATGGAGAAAACATTGTTCAGGAATAGGGCATAGCACTCATAGGTGGATCTAAGGTAGCAAATCTCAGTGGGAAAACTGTCTGTGGGCATAGCTCTCATAGGTGGATCTAAGGTAGCTAATCTCAGTGGGAAAACTGTCTGTGGGCATAACACTCATAGGTGGATCTAAGGTAGCTCATTTCAGTGGGAAAACTGTCTGTGGGCATAGCACTCATAGGTGGATCTAAGGTTGCTAATCTCAGTGGGAAAACTGTCTGTGGGCATAGCACTCATAGGTGGATCTAAGGTAGCTCATCTCAGTGGGAAAACTGTCTGTGGGCATAGCACTCATAGATGGATCTAAGGTAGCTAATCTCAGTGGGAAAACTGTCTGTTGGCATAGCACTCATAGGTGGATCTAAGGTAGCTAATCTCAGTGGGAAAACTGTCTGTGGGCATAGCACTCATAGTTGGATCTAAGGTAGCTCATCTCAGTGGGAAAACTGTCTGTTGGCATAGCACTCATAGGTGGATCTAAGGTAGCTAATCTCAGTGGGAAAACTGTCTGTGGGCATAGCACTCATAGGTGGATCAATTAAGGGGGGCATGGGTGGCCCAGTCGTCTAAGGCGCCGCGATTCGCCGTGCAGAGTTGCCTCCCTTGGGCACGCAAGAAACCTATGATTGCGGGGTCTAATCCCGTTTCGCCCAGATTATGTTTCTAGGTTTGTCAGCACCCTACCCGTGCTGGTGGGTTTCACCAAAGTGGTAAACGTCTGAGACCTGCATCACTTCGGGCTTTCCTCCCACATTAAGCTGACACGCTGCGATATACCTGGAATACTGTTAAAAGCAGCGTTAAACCCAACTCACTTACTCACTCATCTCAGTGGGAAAACTGTCTGTGGGCATAGCACTCATAGGTGGATCTAAAGTAGTTCATTTCAGTGGGAAAACTGTGGGCCTAGCACTAAAGGTGGATGAAAGGTAGTTCATCTCAGTGGTTAAAATGTTGGTGGGTGTACAAAGATTTGAGAATTATATTCTGCAAATCAGTAAACCAAGAAATAAGTAATTGTCTTCATGTCAATTAGATGGAGAAAACATTGTTCAGGAAACAGCTAGCAGTCAAGGTGACGGGTCCAATGTTCTACTGATTATCAGGTGGTGATCCTGGACGAGCCATTCTCTGGTATGGACCCGGATGCTCGTCGGCACATCTGGACCGTGCTGCAGAACAACCGGGCAGGCCGGACAATGGTGCTGACCACCCACTTCATGGACGAGGCTGATCTGCTGGTGGACAGGATTGCCATCATGGCCGAAGGGGTTGTCAAATGTTGTGGCAGCTCTCTCTTCTTGAAGAATAAATATGGTAAGATGGAATTGATACATAATGTCATCTGTTCCTGAATAACAGTTATATCTGCTCAGTGTCAAGATTTTATTCCATATTCTAGCATCAGTGAATGAAACAGATTACCAAATTCCCTTCATCTCTCCTGTAGGTGTTGGCTACAACATTGATGTGTGTGTAGAGTTACCTGCCCTTGTTTAATACCTCCATCTCTCCTGTAGGTGCTGCCTACCACATTGAAGTTTGTTTAGAGTTACCTGCCCTTGTTTACTCCCTCCATCTCTCCCTCCTGTAGGGGCGGTCGGGTAGCCTAGTGGTTAAAGCGTTCGCTCGTCACGCCGAAGACCCGGGTTCGATTCCCGACTTGCGTACAATGTGTGAAGCCCATTTCTGGTGTCCCCCGCCGTGATATTGCTGGAATATTGCTAAAAGCGGCGTAAAACCATACTCACTCACTCTCCCTCCTGTAGGATCAGGCTACCACATTGAAGTTTGTTTAGAGTTACCTGTCCTTGTTTACTCCCTCCATCGCTCCCTCCTGTAGGATCAGGCTACCACATTGAAGTTTGTTTAGAGTTACCTGCCCTTGTTTACTCCCTCCATCTCTCCCTCCTGTAGGATCAAGCTACCACATTGAAGTTTGTTTAGAGTTCCCTGCCCTTGTTACTCCCTCCATATCTCCTGTATAGGTGCTGGCTACCACTTTGAAGTGTGTTTAGAGTTACCCCCCTTTTTTACTCCCACCATCTCTCTCTCCTGTATAGGTGCTGGCTACCACATTGATGTGTGTTTAGAGTTACCTGCCCTTGTTTACTCCCTCCATCTCCCCTGTAGATGCTGGCTCCCACATTGAAGTTTGTTAAGAGTTACCTGCCCTTGTTTACTCCCCCCATCTCTCCCTCCTGTAGGTGCTGGCTACCACATGGTCATAGTGAAGGAACCTCAGTGTGTGGTGGGGAATATCACTGCTCTTGTCACCAAGTACATCCCTGAAGCCGAGCTGGAGAGCAACATTGGTGCAGAGCTGTCTTACATCCTGCCACAGGAGAGCTCCCACCACTTCGAGGAGCTGTTCACCCAGCTGCAGCTGGAGCAGAAGCAGCTGGGCATCTCCAGCTTCGGCGCGTCAGTCACCACCATGGAGGAGGTGTTCCTCAGGTGGGGACCATCACACAGGAGTCTTGTAAAGCAGCACTTTGAGCTGTTATAGCTGAATCAATTAGAACAAAGCTTTGTGGGATCATACATGTATTAGAACAATTACTTTCTTATTTTACAGATTTCAGGATGCAAAATATCAATATTTGTAAGGTTTTATATTAGATTAATTTCTAAAAAAAGACCCGTTTTGAAATAATTGTTTTAATACAATGCAAAACATATCATTTAATAATGCATTGACCACGGCATGTTTAATATATTTTCTTTCACTTTTGCAAAAGTTTTTTGCCTAAATCAAGAGAATATATTAATCTGAAATTTCGAAGGTAATAGGTCCCTGAGCATTAAAAGGGATTACCGGTAGGTCAACTTCAACACCAAACTGAAATGTTTTCATTGCTGTTTCATGCAGTTTGTTTTATTTTTCAGAGTTGGAGAGGACAACATTAGTCATCTCCGAGAGAGGCTGCAGAAAGGGGGCATGAACCTACCAGTCATGAAGGGCTCCCCAGGGGCTACTGGAGCTGATAACATGCCATTTGACATGTCTTCCAACTCCTCCATCAACACGCACCTAGGTACTTCACAAACCTATTGAGCAAGGGTTACTTTCATCAGGAGGTAGCATTTGTCTCACGCTTGCTTGTTTGTTGATACCTAATTGCACAAGCCTGCATGACCTTAAGCATTGTCTTCAAGTGCTATTGAAAATACTTTCTGAGCGTAAATTCAACTGATGGAACTTACAAATGAAGTCAACAAATTTTGAAAATAAACTAGCGCTTGAAGATTATGTTTAACATGTTTAATAATTTGTTTTGATATTTAACTAATTTTTTACTAATTTCACACATTTATAATATTATTTTTCACACAAATAACTAATCAGTACAGGAGAAACTGGTGAACTTTATACACAAAATTAAAATAATCTGCTTAAATATAACAGATTTTACAGGTAAACAAAACTTTCATAATGAGATGCAGTCAGATTGTCCTGTACAGCCGTACACTACTGTACTAATGGTACTTCTGTTATTGGTAACTTATTATCAGGAATGAGGTGATGCTTGAATTTCAGATTCTCAAACGTACGAGCTTGATACTCGCAACAGTGTCAGCGGTACCGGCAGTAAGTGCTGTGTGCTCACCTATCTGACCCTCCACGTGACACTGCTTATAAAACTGCTTGTATATTGTGCAATAAGTCCCTGTTTTGATCCACATTTTTCTTCTTTTTGCTCTCATTAATAGGGCTTGGATGAGTCCAAGTTTACTACCCGGGTGCCCAACACCCTGTTGCCCGATCCTAAAGGGTACCAGCTGTAGGTCTCAAGAGATGAGTACAAAATGTCTGAGAATTGTTTGAACGGAGCTCTGACAAAAAGTATTTAGATACTCCCCTACAGTATAAAACAATCTGATAACGTATACACTGAAGTTGACTGAAGCTTTATCTTTATTCAAACCCATAAAAGTCAGAAGCTTTGTGTGCATTGTCAGAAAGAAATGCCAGTATATGTAGTGTCTTGTAGTGTAACCATGGAGTTCTAGATAAGTTTTCATCATTAAACAATATGTCACGTGTCTAACCATGGACCCGGATAGTCATCTGGGTACCCGGATCCTACACAGTACCCACCCGGCCCGAGTACCCGAGTCACTCAACCCAGCCCTACTCATTAATACAAACTTGTAGTTTTGTCTTCTAGTGATTCAGGGGCGGTCGGGTAGCCTTGTGGTTAAAGCGTTTGCTCGTCACGTCGATGTCCCCGGTTCGATTCCCAACATGGGTACAATGTGTGAAGCCCATTTCTGGTGTCCCCCGCCTTGATATTGCTGGAATATTGCTAAAAGCGGCGTTAAATCAAACTCACTCACTCACTCACTTCCAGCAATTCCTGATTATGTAATTTTTATCTTGTGTTTTTAAACTCTTCCAATCTCATTAAAATCAGATCTTAGTTCTCGCTACCGCTAAACAAAGATCTAAGGACATCCCATTAGGGGTTACGTCAGAACGACCATTCATCCGACCAATCAGAGCGTCGCTTACCAGATCATGAAAGTGACAGTCGGAATGTAATTTCTCATCATGCAGCCTCGAAAACTTTAAAACTTAGTATACCGAACGATAGTTACGGGCTTAACGACTGAATCTATACAATCTAGACCATATATTAGCCATTCGAGAATGTTCTTTTGTTCAGGTTTCAAATTTTCAAGCGGGAATTTGTCAAAAAAAGTCTCGATGTGTAGTCACCGATTTGAAATTAGTGCCGTAAAGCACGAGAAAGCTGTATTCTGATTGGCTAATGTCGACGTCTTGTCAATAATTCCATTGGTCGGTCAGAGTTCACGAAAGGTCGGCCTGACGTGACCCGTAATGGGATGTCCTCAGATCATTGTTTAGCGGCAGCGAGAACTAAGATCTCATTTTAATGAGATTGTAACTCTTCACGCGATTTTATATTTCATCATAATATAATGCTTGCAATTCTTATCACTGATTAGCATGATCAGATGTGATAAACATATTTTGAAATTTTAATGCATTCAGAAATTGTTATAATGTGGAAGTTTAAGTTTTGATCAGAAACATTTAAATAACAGTGACTTGGTGTTCTCTTTCATGCTTAAAAGGTCACAAGTAAAATATAAGTATAGTTGCTTATTTCTTGACCAGAACTTATTACAATTATAAAAATCATTATTACATAAATCTGACTCGCGAAGATGCGGAGTAGAGTAGATCTTCAGCAACCCATGCTTGCTATTAAAGGTGAATAAGCTTGTAAGAGGGGACTAAAGGGATTGGGTGGTCAGGCTCGCTGACCTGGTTGATGCATGTTATCGTATTCCAATTGTGTGGATCGATGCTGATGATGTCAATCACTGGATTGTCTGGTCCAGACTCGATTATTTACAGACCGCCATCATATAGCTGCAATATTGCAAACAAACAAAGAAACAAACATAAATCAGTAATCCTAACAGCTCTTAAGCCATCTATTACCTTACATTATCAAATTTTCAAAGTGACAATAACAAGATTGCATCTGCATATTTTACAGTTCTATGTCATATAGTTACTTATGTACATATATATATATTAACTACTGAATAATAATGTTTGTATCTTATGTATATATAATGTATATAAACAAGAATGTATCTACTGCTGCAAACCTATTTAATTACCCCTTGAAATACCCGGGAATATATTGAGATATATATTGATGATGGTAAATTAATGTGGTGATACTTGTTTGTTACAGAAACATGTTTTTAATCTTCTTTTAGAAAAAGTACATTGATGCCAAATTGTCTTTTCACATTTAATGAATGTATGACTCTGTATTTAATATGAAGAATATTTTTGAGGCTCATAACATTCATATATGTCTTATGTGATGGCTTGAAGTATCACTGCGCGAAACCTTGAGCCCTTCCTCCATTAACTTGAGCTACAGTGTCTTGGTGCTGTGTTTTATTGAAGGAACATATCATGGTCTTGTCATTTCTGTTGTTGAGCTTTGTCTAGTGAACAGTGCAGATTATCAGTAGACATTTTTGGAAAATACCACCATAGCGATTCTGGGTAGAATTGTTCCCCAGCAGCCCATATGTCTTAAGAGACAACTTAATGGAACGGTTGGCCATTGCATGCCCACATGGCATGTCTTCCAACTCCTCCATCAACACGCACCTAGGTACTTCACAAACCTATTGAGCAAGGGTTACTTTCATCAGGAGGTAGCATTTGTCTCACGCTTGCTTGTTTGTTGATACCTAATTGCACAAGCCTGCATGACCTTAAGCATTGTCTTCAAGTGCTATTGAAAATACTTTCTGAGCGTAAATTCAACTGATGGAACTTACAAATGAAGTCAACAAATCTTGAAAATAAACTAGCGCTTGAAGATTATGTTTAACATGTTTAATAATTTGTTTTGATATTTAACTAATTTTTTACTAATTTCACACATTTATAATATTATTTTTCACACAAATAACTAATCAGTACAGGAGAAACTGGTGAACTTTATACACAAAATTAAAATAATCTGCTTAAATATAACAGATTTTACAGGTAAACAAAACTTTCATAATGAGATGCAGTCAGATTGTCCTGTACAGCCGTACACTACTGTACTAATGGTACTTCTGTTATTGGTAACTTATTATCAGGAATGAGGTGATGCTTGAATTTCAGATTCTCAAACGTACGAGCTTGATACTCGCAACAGTGTCAGCGGTACCGGCAGTAAGTGCTGTGTGCTCACCTATCTGACCCTCCACGTGACACTGCTTATAAAACTGCTTGTGTATTGTGCAATAAGTCCCTGTTTTGATCCACATTTTTCTTCTTTTTGCTCTCATTAATAGGGCTTGGATGAGTCCAAGTTTACTACCCGGGTGCCCAACACCCTGTTGCCCGATCCTAAAGGGTACCAGCTGTAGGTCTCAAGAGATGAGTACAAAATGTCTGAGAATTGTTTGAACGGAGCTCTGACAAAAAGTATTTAGATACTCCCCTACAGTATAAAACAATCTGATAACGTATACACTGAAGTTGACTGAAGCTTTATCTTTATTCAAACCCATAAAAGTCAGAAGCTTTGTGTGCATTGTCAGAAAGAAATGCCAGAGGAAGTAGTGTCTTGTAGTGTCACCATGGGGTTCTAGATAAGTTTTTCATCATTGTCAACGTGCATGTTGACGGGGAATTAGCTCTTGGGGGAATAAAGGACAAAATCGACATCACTGTCCCGGAACGCTTTATGCACAACATGTAAACAATAAACAACAATTGCACAATGAGCGGAATACCTGCTCTGACAACACAAACACAGCGATGAGCTCCAGCTCACCTCAGGGCGTTTCCTACGAGCAGCATATCCTGCTCGAGGTCGTCCCTATGCCAGCACTCGGAATACCAAGCCTGACTAACACCGTAGTAACTGTGTAATGGTAGCACATATATAGTAATGAACAACAATGGACAGACAAAGAGACAACGACGTTGCTTTGGACATATGGGCGTGATTAACAAACACAGTTCATGGGATGATCAATTAGGGCAATAAATGCCATACTATAAAAAGCAGAAGTTAAAGGGAAGTGATATGGTAGTCCAAGCTGACAGACAGTCAAAATACAATGAAATGTTGGTGAGGATTAACAACGGGGATTAGCGCCTAAAACGTAATGACAATTAAGTTATGGAGACATGGCTACAGGGTAAATTGCCCTTGAAGTCAAATGTACTGCAGACAATGGTAGTCATAAATCAGTCGCTATGACAACTTCCCTCCGTTCCGTGAAGCTTGGACCCCAAGCTTTGACAAGTCCAAATTGATATGTGTGAACTTTTTCACCAACGGAAACAATAGTGCAAAATGTGAACAAAATCAGTTAGATGAATTCATGATATCGTTGAAATTCTTGTGCAACAAATATACCTATGCAATGACTGTATGAAAGTGATCATCTAGCCAATTTGATTAAGTGCCAGTTTGAAAGTGATCTTTGTAATGTGCAAATTCACTACGAGTTAATTACCGCTTTGGACAGA